AGCCGTCATTACCCCTACAATATAGTGATCGTTCTGTTAAAAGATTGAAAATTAGGTTACACATTCGGATAGGCACTTCTAAGTTTTTAAGTTTATTATAGAGTTTATATATGTCAACATTATCGTATGCAGCTTTTATGTCTAAAAAAATTACGATGACTGACTCAGAGGATTGAAATGCCAGGTTAATGTATGATGTGATGAATGTTATGTTGTCATATATACCTCTTCCTTTACGAAATCCAGTCTGATTATTTGAAAATTTTAAATTATGTTCCAATTGCCAGTCTAATCGATTCTTGATCATTATTTCTAGAATTTTGGCTCCACATGAAGACAGGACAATTGGTCTATAATTTTCTGGATTTGTCGGATCCCTATTTGGTTTTAAAAAACTAATAATATTAAATGTTTTCCATGCGGCTGGTATTTCTCCACCCATTAAAATTTTATTATAACTATTAATAAGAATTTGCTTAGCTTTGAAAGGTAAAAATTGAAACATTTCATAAGATATATCATCCATACCAGGAGCGGATGATTTCTTTTTATTTAAAGCCAGGTTTAATTCATTTATGGAAAAGTGCTTTAAATTTTCATCTATGTTGTTAAGAGCAAAATTTGGATCTATATTTATGATTGACATTTTATTTAAAATAGATATTTTAAGGTTATCTGGAATAGTAAGATTAAATCTTCCTGTTTTGAAGTTATTATTATTGAATTTCTTAATCTTGTTCCAAACATAAGTCATGCTAGAGTTCCTATTTAAAGTTTCACAAAAAAGCCTAAACTTTTCTTTTTTTTTATTATTTAATTTTTTCTTAGTTAATGCAATGGTTTTTTTTGCTAATATATAATTTTCCATAGATGGAAAATTATTAAAATTTGCTATGGCTTTTTTCCTTTCCTTAACCCAGGATGTACAATCATCATCCCACCAGGCATTACCCCTTTTAACATGTATACCGGCCTGTTTAACTGGAATTACTTGATCAGCTACAATGTTAATAATATACATTAGTTGATCATAGGTTAAGTTATAATCTAAATCTTGAAGGTATATCAAAAATTTATTATGGTACGCTTCCCAATCAGCTTTTTTAAAGTTTCTAATTTTATAAGGACTAATTGTGTTGTTAAGTACCTCACAATTGCCATTATCATTAAGTACAAGACGTATAGGAAAGTGGTCACTGTTACCACAATCTTTAATAGTATCCCAATTAGACCTAATAGCTAGATTCCCACTTACCATAGTCAAATCTACAGCACTTGGTATTGCCGCTGACAATTGAAATAGTGTTGGTGTACCATCATTCATAACAACTAGATCATTATCAAATAAGAAATCATGAATTATTCTACCTCCTTTGTTGGGTGTAGCTTTATCCCATAAGGGATGATGAGAGTTAAAATCTCCCATAATTATAATATTTTTAGGATTGAAGGAAATAAGATCATTTAAAATATTGTTATTTATATGCATATGTGAGTTGCAATAAAAATTAATTACTTGTAAATTACCTATTTCTATTATTATATATTGAATATGTTCTGAAGAAAAAGATTTAATTTTCTTAAATATTATATTATTTTTAATGCATGTTACAATCCCACCATACCCATCATCTCTATCCTGCCTAACTATGTTATATGAATTGAGTCTAAAATTGTCATTGGCTTTTAGCCATGACTCATTTATTAAAAAAATATCCGGGTTTTCTTTGTAAATTAAGTTAATTAAATTACCCCTGTTTGAATTTATGCTTCTTAGATTCCAACAAATTATCTTTAACTTAATTATATCTGACCTAGATGAAAAGAAAAGAAGGTTTTTAGGACTCTGAGTCCGATTGGGAACCAGGGTCAATATTCATATTAAAATTTTGACTGAATAATATGTTTTTAATTACTTTTTTATTATTTTCTGACGTATTTAAGATTGCATTAATAATATATCTAACCTCATCTGGATATGAGGAAGTAGATTCTTCTGAATTATAAGTGTGAACTGCACTAGTAGTAGGCAACTGTGTATTTATATTGTTTTCAAATTTTTTTGAGAAATTTGGTGAATTGTTTTCATTTTGAGATCTTGAGTTGGGAAATAATAAATTTTCATTATGAGCCTTTTTATCATAGCCTTTGTGAATTATCCTTTTTTTTTTATTGTTTTCAGCCACGACTTGTTGAAAAGATCTTTTGATAGGATCGGTTCTTACATGATGCGTACGTCTTTGTGAAGGTTGAATAAGGTTATCTTTATTATCATGTGTTTTTTCATTAGTATTAAAGTTTTTAATAATAGGGAATTCGGAGGGGCGATATACAAATTCATCACGTGTCAAATAAGTTTTTTTAACTATTTCGCTAGCATCATAGAAAGTTATATTTTCAAAAGACATGAGCTCTTTGATATTTTTTTGTCTTGTATACTCGGGACAACTTTTATCGGTTGATTTATGGGATTTTTACAATAAAAACATTTAATTTTACAAGAAGAGTGAACCTCCCCATCTGATGTTTTTTCTTCAGCACAGGTGAAGCACCTCTCCCTGCCTTTACAATTTGTACGTGTATGGCCATACCTTAGACATCTAAAACACTGAGTTACTGGGGGAATATATACAGAAATAGGTCTTTCCAATCTATACAAATTTATGGATTTAGGGAGACAAACACCTTTAAATGTAAAGAGAACCGATCCAGTAGGTTCATATGTAGTTTCATTATTTTTAACTATTTTACGGTTTAATCTCTTAACTTGAAGAACTTCTACCGAGCTGTTAGTTTTACAAAATTCTAACAGTTCTCTCTCTCCTAATTCAACATCAATTTGCCTAACTAATCCTTTACAAGTTACAAAATTGAATGGTATAAATATTTTATAGCCTTTATCAAGAAGAGTTTTATTTTTTACAAAATTATTTGCAGCTTGAAAGTTAACAAATTCTACTGAGATTCTATTTAAGCCTTTGTTATTAATTTTTTTAATGTCAGTTAAGTTTTGAATAAAAATATCTCTAGCAATTTTAATATTGTTGAATTTACCAATATTGAAACCCACTTTTTCAGTGGATTCCACATATACCAAAAACGGCCCATTGTCGTTTTGTGAATAAAAAACTGGCTCTTTTTCAAGGTTATTGCTATTACTGGTCGAATTATTAACAAAATTATCACCATTATCCATCTGTTCTTGGCATTCTAGCCCTGTGCTGGGGGGGCCGCCCCCCCTGTGTCGCTCATACTACTTCAAACAATCAACCAAAAGGGATAAGCATGCAAACAGAGAGCAAAAAAAAAAAAAAAATTAAGCCAATAAGCAAAAAAGTTATCTAACAATACAAAGCTTTATTAGTTATTATCAAGCTCAACTCACCTTTTAGAAACTCACACAACAGAAAATTAGATGGAAAGAGTTGAAAACACAGCCTCCCAAACTAGACCTTATGTCGTGAACGCTAACCGAAAAGTGCTGATAGGTTAGCTTCTTGTTTTGAATATTTGACAGTCAATAGTCAATGCAACGAACTTAGAAGCATATGCGTCTATGTCAATGTCAATGAGTGAGGACGTTTCATCAATCGCCATATTTTTCGTACAGACAGATTTGACAATGACGTAAAATTGTAAAATATATAATAATGGGTCATATTTTAATTCAACGGTCATACGTATTGGTTTATAACTAACTCGATGGTTTATAAATTTATAAAAAAATTATTAAATAAATATTTTTTTATTGAATGAAGAATTACATATTCCATAACAACACCTTTTCGTAGTTAATTTTCGTAGAGGTATCATAATAATAATTGATTAAAAAAATTGATTTGCTAATTGTGGCACTTTATTTTTTTTTTTTTTTTCAATAACTAGACTTTGTTTGGTATTTTCTCCATATTTTTTATATGAATTTTTCATATTATTTACATTACTAATCTAATCTGTTTGGTTACAAAATGTCTGTTTGAAGAAAATGCTTTATAAATTTCTAAAACAGAAATCAAACTAATAAAGACTAAACATAACCCATCTAGTTAGGATGTGGTTAGGATCACTTAGGATCTAACTCAATGACGTATAATATACTAACTCGATGACATAACCACAATAATAAACAATTTTTTATTATTCTGTGACAAAACCACAGGATGCCAACTCTCAGATGCCGCCTTTGAAGTTTGTCAGCACGCGAACGCCATGTTTTAGACGGAAACATAAACTCGAATTGAGAAATTTGTGACAAGCTGTGACAGAACTGTAATTAAAATTTTTAGAGATTGATAATTTAGTACATTTAAAATAATTTAATCTATTCTTCAACTAAAAGTACGAATAAAATAGTGTATAATTATGTCTGTAGTTGGCGTAAATAAATTAAACCGGGTTAATTGGTCTATGAACACCAGATTAAATGTCACTGCACAGCACTGGTTCCGTTTAAAACATGGCTGATTCCGTCTGCGCGTACTTAATTTTTTAAGAAGAGTGGGCATTTTGATTGTTTATTATTATGTGCCTTTGCCCTTTACCACCCTGTACCCGTGCTGCCAATCTCAGGATTCTCAGAAAAGCAAAAAGTCTCAAATGTAACCTCCATGTCCGACAAAATATATTCTGATAAGAATAATGAGAATATGCAATGTATTCATCATCAATATCATAGTTTGTAAATATCAAAGATGTAATTCAAAGTTAGTCAATCAACATTTAGAGTTCTTAGGGAGGTTTTTACCATCGAACAAAAAGACAAGTTTTTACTCAGGTATAAGGTATACGGGTTTAAATTTATATTGTATTCCCACAGAACAAAGATAACTACAATAACAAAGAGTACTACTTGTACTCTTTGTTATTGCTGTGAAAAGTTTTTTTCTTATATTCTTACCTCGGGAAATTATTCTTTTTCTACGTCACTGCAGTAACTCAGCTGAGCGTCTGGTCTCTTACGTAATTGCCTAACAAGTTTATTTATTATATAATTTTGACAATCAAAACATAACCTGTATCTGATTCAATTTGATTTTTATAAAATTTTAGAACACAACACAGAAAAATGGCCCCTCGATTAGTTGGTTGGAGGTACGCCGCTTTAATAACTGGTCTTATTGGAACGATTGGATTAGCTATATATCCCATAATAATAGATCCTATGATGGATTCAAGTAAATATAGTGAGTTTATATCCTACATATACTAAGTGAATTACTATGAACAATCTTCAATTTCAGAAAGGATACAGGAGAGATCTAGAACAGGAATAAGACAAGAAGATATTCAGCCTGGCAGTAAGTTGTTTGTATTGTACTATAACAATTTCTATTACAGACTAATATTTTTGTTTATTAAACATCTTTTTTTAGATATGAAAGTGTGGACTGATCCTTTTGATAGAAACAAGCCTACATAGTTCTTGATATATTTTGTAAATGTATATATTAGTTCATTAATTTATATTTAAGTTGAATATATCATACAAAATATCTTCCTTGTTACTTTTAATGTCAACTAAAAACATTTATGCAGAATATCAGTTAAATGTCCATTTCACCCTTTTTGGCTGATTCAATATTGAAAACTACTGAATTAATTTTAATCAATCACAATTAAATTATAAATATCTGCAAATAACAAAAAGTCAATTATAATTATTATATTTGACCTCACATTAAATGTATAACCAATCTTATACAGACTAATAGAGAGATGTAAAGACAATATTAGACAACAATAAAACTATTTTAAATAAACTGAAATCTTTTAAAAATTAGCAGTAAAAAAGATATGTCTACATTTACAATTCTAACTAGCCTGTATCTGACAGATGTAAGCCTAAATGTGCCCCAAGTATGATTTCACCCAATGAAATGAAATGAATTACAGTATCTCTCTTATTATTGTGATGACTAAGAAAACAAATGATTATCAATTTTTTACATATTTATTTACAAACTTATTAGATATAATTAAAAGAATACATTTTTAGTTATTAGCACCATAAAAACACTAGATGTTTGTCAGATTCTTAAATTAAATAATCCCAATCAAATGAGTAAAAACTAAATAAAATGCTCTTCATCATCATCACAGACATCCAGATACACATCAAAAGCTTCTCTATTGCAGTTTCCATCAGCTGTGAATACATATTTGTGAAAGGTTCCATCTATACACACAGCTAAAAATAAAAATTTGGAACTAAATGCTTTGATCTAGGCTAATGACCATTTTTTTAGTTAATACATTGGAACCCACTCTAATTTAAATGCACTTAATCAAGTTGATCAGGTGATCAAGTTCAAACTGGCTCACTAGTACAGTTAGCAGCATAAAAAACTGGTATAACTGAAAATTGTGTTTTTCAAGTTTTGTAAGTTGATCTTGTCACATATGTCATTCTAATTTCTAAGGCAATGTTGACAGTTGAACGAAATATTAGATGCATTTCAATGTTCCCTGTGCCAATACCCTACATTTAAAGATCCTTTAAACATTTTGGGCATTAACGCAACCCTCTCTCTGGTTATTAAATTTATTAGATATAGTTTTTTGTTGTTAATGATAATAATACCTATACAAAAACTTTAAACATTTTTGAACATTCTTTTTTTATTTAGATTTAGTGCAATTCCGTTATATGTGATGGCAACAACCAATTGATTCACAAACTAAGTCTGAACATCTAACGCTCATAAGCAATAGCAACAACCAAACTGTTAATACTGTACTTACCAATGACAGAACTGTTTGCACCAAATGCACAAATACAGGCACATTCAGGAGGTACTATGAAGTTGGCCAGTGCCCATTGGGATTCTCCATATTTTCCTAGAATTCCACTAGGTATGCTAAAAAAAGATCTTTGTTATGTGCATATTACATTTTCTCTCTGTGAAGTACATAAATATTGAAATAACACAAATATAAATCTAGAACATTAATAAAAAAAAACTATAATTTAATAAATATAAGAAACAATATACTACAGAGATGTATAGAGAAACAGGAAGAAACATTTACAGTATAATTTTATGATAACACCTTAAAACAAGTTTATATAACATAATTCAGTAACATAAACTTTTAATACAGCCCTTGTAGAATCAATTGTACATTTTTTAGTAGATTTTAGTAAGATTTAGTTCTACTTTTTAAAGAAGGTTAGGATTTGGAATGAAATAAAAGTTTTCTATGTCCTTATCTTTTATGAAGAGGACATATAGAATTCTCTATTTTAGAACATCTTTACTTCCATATTTTCTTATTGATCTCTTAATGTTTGAATCCCCTTGATTTCTTCCAGTTTGGGTTATGCTGATCATACAACAGGTATCAACCCCAAATCATTACATTAAGTAAATTTGTAGCTTCAAGGGTTTGACACATAAATGATTTGCTCCTTTCTCTCCACAATATGATGTGTAAACTCTTGTTTTTGTTTATGCTGATGATGACAAATCTTTTTTACCTGTATTTTTCCTATAACTCTGGAAATGTTTTTAATTGAACTATACCTTGTAGCTTTGAGAGTATTTGGTTGTAATATACTAAGATTTTCCATTTCTTAAAGTATTTTGGTCCACCTACTTCAATTGTCCATAAGTGGCTCATCTTCCCTAGAATAATTTAGTTTTCCAGACATTTCAATATCAATTAATAGTTTACAATTAAAATAGCTATCAGAGCAGCTTAGACCTTATATTTTAACAAGTATAGATTTCTTCCACTATGCAAAATGTTTTAGAAGTAGTGTCTTTTTAATTACTCAAAGTAACAATACCATTTATTTTATTTAGATTTTTCTTACCTTATTCTCCTATTTAGATTTGTATTTTTAATTGCAAATATATGTACTGTTCCTTTATCACTTGAACAACACAAATAATCAGAATCCCTACTGAAATTGATACTAAAAAAGAACCAAAAAATTGTTACTTCCTAGTTCAAATACTAAAAGAATGTTTTACAAGAAAAATACTATTTATTTTTATCTTACCAATACACTGTGGCTGGATCTGACCCACGCCTCAGTTCCACTAACAAATTTTTGCTTGTGGTATCCCAAACTCTGATGAGAGTTCCCTGATAAGATGCAGTTGCTAATCTTGTACCTTGTTGATTCAAGGCTAAACATCCTACTTCACTTTTATGGGCTTGGATCCAAACAGGAGCACTTGACACCCCCATTTCTGTGCAGGATAGGTCCTAAAACAGATTCAATACATCATTTATTAGATACCAAATAAATTAACAATGTCTAATAAGTCATTGTATTTGAAATATGAACTTACAACTAATTGGACACTTCCAATTTTGTGTCCTGGAAATACCAATAATTGCTTTTCAGCAGAAGCCAAAGGACTGACTTCACACAACCCTCTATAATTTTCCCTAGTCTCTAATGTAAACAATCTCTGGGTAGGAGTGGGATATGAAAACACATGTATTTGATTTAAAAGAGCTACCACTAATCTAAAACAAAAAAGAACTTTATTATAACCAATAAAACTAGAATAAAGTATTTCTTACTTATCTCTTCTCATTCTCACAGCTCTTATTGATGATGGAAATGTAATATCTAATATAAATTTCTTCAAAAAATCATCATAGATCAAAAGGACGTTGTCAGCAAATTTGGGACGTGATCCACCTGAGACTACAGCTAGTAGATTTGTGCGAAACAGCATTTCACATTGAGAAACACTTCCCACAGTTTCTATATCTAAAACCACATAAAAAATATTAATTTGAACATTTTGTTTGTCCTTTATTTGCATTTACCATAATGAGCCTTTTCAACTAGTGGCTCTACATTGTAGATCCTTATACCACTTTCCATGCAGCATGTAAAGCAGCCTAAAAAAATTTAAGCACAATAAATAATAATTCCTACAATATTCATGAGGTATTTTAATTTAATAGAGGTATTTACCTTGATCTTGATTAAATTTTACACTTATTACTTTTCTATCTGTACCCATTTTAATTATTTATCGAAGTATCACATTAAAACGTAAACAATAAAGGGATTAATGTGTAAATTTCCACCATTTGTTTTGGTTTTGAGTTTGCAAAATTGCTTGACGTTGACAAACTGACATGGATAATAAAAGAACCAAATGTAAGTTGACATCGCTCCGAATTTATGCAATCACATTTATAGATAAGTGTATTGTGTGTTGTCATAAGAACAAAGGTGGAAGAAAAATTCTTAAACTGGAACAATTTATCTCCTTAGTAAATATTTATAACCCGACAAGCGAGAGCTGGCGGGTTGCGCGTAGAACAAATTGAAAAGTTGAAGGGATTGCTCATTTCTATTGCAGTCGTCTAGGAGTTCACATCGTGTATAACCGTTTAAGTACCTATACTATATACCTATAATCGCGATTGAGTACCTCTCCTATCTCTGTTAGAATAATTTCTTTTCTATTTTGGCGCAGCTCACCCGCCAGCACTCGCTTGTCGGATTATACCCTCTGCGAAACATTATTGTTTCTAAATTCTACATTAGCTTATCGTCCTATTTATTAATATTGTATCTTAAAACGAATGAATAACATTGTTTTGGTAACTAAAGTGGTTATCTGTTGAAAGGCCTAAATTAAATAGTGATAGATGACACATGACAATTAGGTGTCCAATTTCCCCATTTGACAGAACGTGACAACAGAAAAATATAGAAAATCATCCTCTGTGTTTCAGTGTTGAACTTGTGTTAAATTTAAAAAATAATCATGTCCAGAGGAAGCAGTGCAGGTTTTGACCGACACATAACAATTTTTTCGCCCGAAGGCCGACTCTATCAAGTAGAGTATGCTTTTAAGGCCATTAACCAAGCCGGCCCCACTTCCGTAGCAGTCCGAGGAGTAGATGCTGCAGCGTGTGTGACCCAGAGGAAGATTCCCGATAAGCTGATTGATCCCAACACAATTACACACCTCTTCCAGTTAACAGAACACACTGGATGTGTGATGACTGGTATGATTGCTGACAGCAAGTCCCAGGTCCAGAGAGCTAGATATGAAGCTGCTGAGTTCAAATATAAATTTGGATATGAGATGCCAATCGATGCCTTGTGTAGAAGAGTGTCGGATATTTCCCAAGTTTATACCCAGAATGCTGAAATGAGACCTTTGGGTAAGTTGTATATCATTTCGTAGCACAGCATTGAATTGCAGAAAAAAAAAAGACGAGAAATAACTTAAGTAGACAATTGCTGGTTTGATTATATAAAATGAGAACTATGGAATTTTTCAGGTTGCTCCATGCTTCTGATAGGATATGACCAAGAAATGGGGCCTTGTGTCTACAAAGCTGATCCTGCTGGCTATTACTGTGGCTACAGAGCAGTAAGTGTAGGATCCAAACAAACTGAAGCCAACAGCTACCTAGAGAAGAAGCTAAAGAAGAAAACTGATCTGTCCAAAGATGAAGTCATCCAATTGGCAATCAGTTGTCTTTCCAGTGTTTTATCTGTAGATTTTAAGCCAACAGAAGTTGAAGTTGGTGTTGTTACTAAGGATGAGCCCAAGTTTAGGAAATTGACTGAACAAGAAATAGATTTCCATCTGACAGCTATTGCTGAGAGGGATTAGATAGGTTTTTTGTATTCACTCTTTGTTATTTTAAGAAATTGTGAAATTTTGGGATAAGTAAGAAATAAATTTTTCCTTATAATTTATTTTATTTAATTTCATTACTATTTTAGTAAAATAGTAATGAAAATTAGCTATATAATGTAACCAAGATCTTCTCAGAATTTAGATAGTGGTCTTATTTTCTCCTTACAATTTTTTTAGAAGTGTTAGCATTTCATTTTTTCTATGGGCATTTCTCTTTGTTTTTTAGTTTCTTTTTATTCTTCTTCTAGTAATCCAACTTTGGACATAGGCTTCCCCCAAATCAATCTAGTGTCTTCCATTTTGCGCCATTTTTGTATTATTTTTTCTACCTTGTTTTCATTATAGATTCTTAAATCTTCCTTTACCCCCTTCTTTATTTGTTTATTCAATTCTTTGAAACCATTGGTCTTTTGCTTACCTTCTCTTAGAAATGTGCATCTCTTGTCCATCAACCTTCACTTATTCAGTCTTCTTTATTTTTCGTTTTCTTTGCAATAGTCAGTCCTGCTTTCAAGAACTTTCGTTACATTTCTTTATTAATTCTGTTTATGTCGGAACATTCTTGTTGATAATGTTCTACAAATTCTTTTCTTAAGATGTCTCTGTACTCATCTCCCTTCTGTCATATTTTAGTTTGATCTATATTATTACAATAATTATGTGGCCTGTTTCTACTGGTTTTCGCCTGTTTAATAAGAATCCTTGCTCTTAAAAGGTGATGATCGCTGCCAGTTGAGAATCGATTAAGAGCAGTTATATCTTCAAAAATGTCTTTGTTCTCACACAAGAAGTAATCAATCTCGTTTTTCGTCTTTTTAACGGGAGATATCCACTTCCATTTTTGGTTTGCTGGTTTCTTGAAGTGTGTGTCCGTGGTATATAAATTTTGTTGTTCTAAGAAGTGGTCTTTCATTTCGTGTGCCATAACCATGCATACTTATTTTGGTTTCAGTATTTTCTTCTTTTTTACCCAATTTTGCGTTGAAATCTCCCATAATGATGGTATACTTTGTATCATTTTCTTCTAATGCTGTTATCAAATCTTCGTAGAACATTTCAACTACCGGTTCCTGATGTGTTGTTGTGGAGCATACACTTGTATAACCTTGATTTTGGTTTTTTTTATGTAGGTGTATTATAATTATCAGAAACGCTTTTATATGTAGAAATGTGTGGTGTGAGATACTTTTTGACAAGAAATCCTACTCCACCGTATGTTTCATCTATTTTCCCTGTATAGTATAAGCGATTTCCACAGTTTAGATGTGTGCATCGTTCGCCTCTTCTTTTCACTTTTGACAGACCTACAATATCACACTTTATCTTGGATAGTTCTTCTAATTCGTAGACCTTTTCATCTTTAGCAATAGATTGCATGTTGTATGTGGCTAGTAGTAACTGTTTTTATTTGTTCATATCTATTTTGGCGCGTTTTGTTGACCTTGTGCCTCCCCCAGAATCCGTGAGGCTGAAGGGTTTTCCGGTGTGGGATTCTGAGCTGCTAGCTCTACCCACCTGGGGTATCGTTTCATTTTGTTTCTAGTTCAACATGTTGTATTTTGAGGGGTATATTGGCATTAAAACACCACACTTGCCGGACGGGTTGGTGAGTGTTCGCAGTATCACAGCCGGTTAAATCAGTATTGAGGACTTCTCCGCCCAGTCTGTCTTGTACAAAATACTGAAGGACCTCTACTCAGTTCAGTAGTTCTTTTTATTAGTCTTTTTATATTTTATATTAGTCTTTTTATATTTTATGTAAATGTTGATATACTTATAGTGTCTTTTACTGTTCACTTTTTTTATTGAGATTATAATATTACACTTCATCAGGGAATTAAAATGTACAATTGAAGAAAGACAAACGGACAAGTTAAACAAATGTTCTTTCTTTAAAATTTATTATAATTTACACTTATTTTAAATTTTGGCTGGTTTTTGTACTTTCAGTAATTCTTTAGTAAGTGGAAAAAGGGCGAGTACCATATTTATTATATATATAGTTCCACCAATGGATTCGATAGGCTCTTAGACTTGTTCTCTGTGTTAACTTCTCTCCTATGTTGAAGTAAGTACCATTTTCTTTATATATTGGCCAAATTGTTTGGTCAGGATTTAGATCTTTGTCTTTCAGAGTAGGATTACTACAAAACAGAAAAGAAAAACTATTATTTTTTGTTCTTGTATATGACCTTAAAAGTATATAAATATGGTGTCTCGATGATCTATGCATATGATTGTTGCTTTGGGTATAAGAGATCCCAGATTTAAATCCCGCTTTCTACTTTATTAACGAAATATTTTAATAGTAATATATAAAATAACTTAAAGGAATTAAAATAAGTAAATTTAAAATTAATTATGTAAATGTTATGATATCTGGTTACCCTATGCTATGACATATAGTTTCCCTAGATCAGTTTCATGGATTAAGAAAATATTTCTGTTATTATATATCAACTAAGAATATCTTATTAGAAGTTAAAGTGTAAATTTACATGACAAACCAAAGTTTCATAATAAAATTTGAAAAATAATGTAAAACAAAATTGTGAAAGGAGTATTTTGTCCATCATCTAGTATCTTTATTTGAATGGGTTAATGGGTTAAGCTGATTGATGGCTTTTCTGATGAGGTCTTTTGTATGTAATTGGTAGAAATTTAATAAAAGACAAAAGAGGTAAATTTTAGACGACCACTGACTAGATGGACGGATGATTTCAATCATATCACCACAAACTGGATGCAAGATGCTCAAGATAGAAATAGGTGGAAAATTTTACGTTAGGCCTACGTTCAGCTGTGGACAAATATAGGCTAGTTGATGATAAGTTAAAAAAAAATGTTAGGACGGAGTAGAATAAAGTTAATGAATTAAATAGTCAGGATCACACCTAATGGCATAATTACTAATTAGACATAATAGTTTAGGGAAATACTTACGAGGTTGTAGCGAAGTTTTTCCACATACGTATCATTCTTCTTCTTGTTAATATATCTGTAGCTGTTTGATTTGGAGTATCATAATAAAACAGGTAATATAGGTCATAACCATGAGAATTTCCTGAAAGCAGAAATAAAGAAGTACACAGACTAAAGTTCAATTGTTTAAAAATTGCCTTGATTTTCATTGAAAATAAATTTTAGTGTTAACCTCCTCTCTAAAATTTTGATGTAAGCTCCTATTAAATTTATTATAGTGCACCACTAGAGATCATCCTGTAAAAGTCACAGGTTTTGCCGGGTTGCCATATTTACCTCTTCCAAATAGTCTGGTAATACGTTTTGTACTGCAAATCATTTTCACCATTTGAATTCTTTAGAAGAAATACTAGCCCTATTAAGTTCTCCACATTCCTGTGAAAATTCCTGCACAAAAATTGACTTTAAAAATCCTTTAACAGGTTGACTGCCAGGCCAGGCGGTCGTATACAACCGAATTGATACTGTCTATGATATAGTTTCTGTTTTACCAAAGGTGGTATAGAGAAGCAGAGTTATTGGCATTGCAGTATTTGACCGCTGTGGCATACAGACGTCGCATATACATATCAGTTTTCATTTTGGCAGAATAGGTGAGACCATGGAGAGACGAAAGAAGAAATTCCACAGCGGGCTTCCTGTACCATTTCTGTCTCCGAAAAATATATCGTATATTGATTAAATATGGCTTTTACAAACGCACTAACAGGGAAAACATTTCAAAAACATTTTAAATTACTGGTGCCATAATAATAATTTAATTTAAGTACACATACAATTGTTATGGGGTGCAAATGTTTCGTTATATATATTTTTTAAATTCTCTTTAAATGCTCTCTCCATAAGAAAGCAGGCTGTAGCATTTGTACTAATATATATATATATATATATATATATATATATATATATATATATATATATATATATTTAAATAGGAAACCTAATATACATACAATATTAATAAAAGTACACTATACATTTTTGATATGTTGTTTTATCAATCTGTCTACTTTGCAAGTTGTAGAAAGCGCAGTGGTAAAAATTTGAATTTAGTTTCGAAAAATTAGAATTTGAATTTGAAGTAGGAAATCTTAGGATTTCTAATGTGTTAGAGGAAATGTGCCTATGATGAAAAAGGTCCATAATTATTTTAATAATTTACTTAGCATTCTTAAATATGACCACATAACGTCTTGTTATTTGTATAATATGCAAATGTTTCAAATTCTGATAAACATTAAGATGACAAAAGTTTTTCATAGTTTAATAAAACCCTGTTAAGGGTCTATCACTGGCATATATGCGCTCATGATGGACCCTTGGATACGCCCATGATGGACCCGTTGCATTTTGTATAAACTAATTAAATATTAAATTATTTTATTAAACCAAAAGATATTCTAAACGGTAAAAAATATTACAACTAGGTATTTTTAAGCAAAAAGTTACATGCACGATTTACACACAAATTGTTTACGTCCGGATTTATATCTGCACACTCATGTGACATCAATTTTTACACACTTGACAACGAATCCATTTTTCTTTAGATCGTAAACGCGAAAATAGTTCGTTACAGTAAATGCAAGCTGCATCGTCCAAGTCGTCTTTTTCAAAACAAGATTCACAATCGTCTTCAGAACTGTTTGTAGTTGAATCACGAACTTGCCTTTTCACTTTTCTTGTGTCTTGTTTTCTTTTTTTTGCTTCTTTTTCTGCAAGTTTTTGTTTTATATCATCAATTTCTGAGATTGAATTTAAATATCCTATTTTACCCCGTTTTCTACCCCTTTTCTGAGTTACGTCAAATACTCCAGCTAAAGGAGAAAGACAAATATCTTCGACCGAGATGTTTAGGACTGACGATGATGTTGATTTCTGATCAGTGATTTTTGAAAAACCTTCAATTGAAGAAACATTTTGGTTCCGATGTTCCGGTAGTGAGTTCTCATCAGAACATACTGGTAGTGGGTTTTGTTCATAATTTTCTCTATCTGTTGTTATAGACGGCAAAAATTGCCAATCTTCGAAGACATCTGGATTGAACGGTTCTATTCCTATCTCTTTAAATGCATTTATTGCATTTGATGGAGGAGCACTTTTTAAATACGCTCTATTAAAGATACTGGCTACTTTAAATTGGGTAACTGTTTTACCTGGATTCTGTCGCAGCCATAATTGAATTTCTTGGCCGTAGTAAGTTTGAAGTGGTCTAAAAAATTCTACGTCCAAGGGTTGAATGCGATGAGAGCAGTGAGCAGGAAAACAAAACATGTTGCAGCCAGAGACAGAAAATGTCGGAAATAGTCCATACTTTTTCTTGAGCGAAAACTACACTTCCAGTAGGTGCATCGATCATAGGTTTGTCTTTCTATCTCTGTCGAGAAAAATCAAAGCATGATGAATATATGTTCCAATTGCATTCATTGCACATACGACCGTAACATGTAGACCGTCCTCTGCATTACTTAAAGCACCAACTTGTTTGTGACCTTTACTAGCATAAATCTTTTGCGATCTCTTTTGCACAGTTGTCAAACCGGACTCGTCCATGTTATAAATGTTTTCCGGTGGAAATTGAAACTGGTCTAATATATGTGATAATGCTGTAAAATAGGCACATATATTTGGTTTATTAAAAGCTTGAGCCCTTGAACGAAGTATTTTCTGGAGTTCGTAATGGTATTCGAGGATTTCGCTTTAAAAAGCTTCTGACCCATTTCCAGTCTGCCATCTTGGTTTCCTTATTAAAACTGTGGCTAATATTGTTTCTTTCACCTACTTCGTATACAAGTTTTCGTAAATCTTTACTGGTCAGGCCAAAAAAAACGAGCTTCCATGGTGATAATATGGTCAGCAATTTCCTTTTCAATAGCAGTGGAAAATATTGGTCTTCGTCCTCCCAAATCACCTTTGGTAAAATCAGCTTAAACCTCATAGTGTTTTCTTGTATGTTTTTAAAAGCTTGCTGCATATTACTCTCATTCCACTGTTGCCTTTTATGAGGATCCATCCCTATAAAATGTATTATGTTAATCGTTAAGTAGCAACTTATTTCCTTTTTCCTATGACGGACCCCTAGTCCGTCATAGGCAACGACAAAGGGGTTCATCATAGGCAAATAGACAAGACAGTAAATTTAATTCTGTTACTTTTTTTGACCATTCTAGCCTAAAACAAAGTATAGTATTTGACAAAGAAAGTGTCATTTTATACAAAACAAAAGCAACACTTAGTTTAACGTATGTTACCAGTAAAATATTACTACAAACTTCGTGCGCAAGCGGCAACCGGCGATGTGCATGTAACCGCGCCATATTTGAAAATACAGCAGGGAGTCCATCATAGGCAGGGGTCCAACATAGGCACACTTCCCCTATTACAAGGCGTTGTAACGTCCGTAAATAATTATTTTTATAATTATTGTACTATGGCGGGAGATATTTAATTTTGATTCAGAGCACCTGCATATGTCGTTCTGATGATACCTAATGATGTTGAAATACGTATAAGTGGATGGCAGATGCTCTGCATTGAAATTAAATTTAAGACCGTCTTTCTGTTTTTAATATGTTGTTTGGGCAACGTTTTAAAATTATTGAGAGTAGTACAATTTTTTATAGATGCAGTTGACTGATTAAACTTACGGAAGCTTTTAAAAAAGAACGAATTCATCGTATTATATGTCATCTAAACCTCTAGTATTATAAGAATTAATATTTTTGTTGAAAGAAATGAACTCATGAAAGTATTGAGGTGATAAGCCATTTACTATTTTGAAGCCCAAAATTATGGTGAAATAAAACATTCTATTTTCAACAGAGAACCAATTTAGAGAATTTAACATCGTCCCAATTGGGGTACCGCGATTTAATTTAAGAATTATTCTTATTACCCGATTTTGTAATTTTTGCAACATGATAAGTTTGTTAAGATTAAATAAAAATAAAATTGATGAGCAATAGTCAAAATGAGGTTGAATATTAATTGTGTTAATATACTGTGATTTTGGTCTACGTTGACAAATTTTGAAAGAAAATTTTTCTTTCCCACATCTTTAACTGTTGTAACCACTTCAATTTTTTCATTATTAATATTTAAATTCATGCTATCAGTATCAAGCAAGCTATATTTATGTTTGGTAGGGAAAACTATTGCGTTTGTTTTTTCCACATTCAATTTCAGTTTGTTTATTTTCAAATATTTATCAACCATATCTAAAATGGTATTTATTTTTTGAATAGCTACATCAAAATTTTCATCACTACAACAAATTAGAGTAACATCGACAAAAGGATTAATAAATTCACAGATTCAAAAATATCGTTATCGTTAATGTACAGAATAAATAAAAATGGGCTTTTTAGTTATTCTTGCCTTGATGAATCCCTGTATTACTATCCATTTCAGATGATAATTGGTCTTTAAAACGCACTTTCTGTTTGCGATGTTCAAAATAATTTTCGAACGACGCAATTATTGTACCTCCTATACCATATTTGTGATTTCGATGGTCCCAAAAGTTCTTTTTTAATCAAGAAATACACCGACTGCGTACTTATTTTTATTTAAACTCATGGACGTGTAAATAAAGACGTCCATGTTTAAACTACTCTTTATGCGACATAATGTAAATTGTAACGCTAATTCACAAGAGAGTTTTCGAAAACCTGATTGATTAATAATTAAAATTTTATTTTTTGTTATATGTTGCAATATTTGTTCATGAACAGCAATTTCTATAGAAGGTAAAGTTCATAACAGTTTTTCTATAGAAGGTAAAGTATTGATTGGTATTATTGGGTATTTTTTGTGATAGTACTTATTTTTAATACATTAGGAATTCTACCCGTACTAAGAGATGTATTAATTAAATTCAGCATAACGAGCCCAATCGTTTCAAAAATTTCCTTTACTATTCTGCAATTTAATGTTTCATGTAATGAGAATTTATTATTTAAATTGCCAACAATATTTTGCAAATCTTTCATAGAAAGCTTCTCAAATTCTTTAACATTTAGATAAGGTAAAATACAAATTCGTGATATAATTCCGGCGTATACAAAAATTTGAAATTATTTT